ATGTTAAAAAATAAATTAGAAAAGAAAACTAATTTAATTGGATGCAAGAAGTTGTAAATTAGTTTACTCGTTTTTCTTGTTTTTTACATTTAAAAATTGTGACTTATTTAGCAAATTATGAGATTTGAATTTAATTAAATGATTAAAAAAAGACAACTAACTAATTGTTTTTAATCTCCATAATCCATTTTAATCTTCACTGCTAATCCAACTCCAGCACCATCTAAAATATATTTATTTGCTGTTTTGGGGCCACGTGGCAGTTCGCACACCCCAAATCACAGACTGTCAAACACGGAATTACACCCGCGATGCTATATGAATCCTCCAGCACCCATCGTCTGATCATTCCATTCTCAGCCGTCCGATCAAAGAATCCTTCTGACAATATCTCCTCCAGATTCGCGTAATCAGTTAGGTTTCGATGGAGCTTTTCGTAAGGACCGCTAGAATGGTCCCCACTCCACTCTAGCACATAGGTAACCTCTCTCGCCTGATCTTAATATTTATGGTCATAGAGATATACAGACAATTTAGTATAGTTATACGTAGATAGCACGTGACTGCGTAAGTTAATGTGGGTTCCATTTTTAAAACCCTGCCACAATTTTTTTTTTAAATTTTTTTTTTTTAAAAATGTAGTTTTAATACAAAAATAATCTTATTTATTGATCACTTTATAGTATATTTTATATATTAATATTCCGAATATTTTTACGTTATTCGTGAAATTTGAATCAATATTAATTTGTTTTTCTTAATTTAATATTTCTAATTTTCTTTAATTTTATGATTAACCTTTAATTCGATCCGCAAAAAAGAGTTGAATGAAGAATGAAAGAAGATGGGCCAAATTATTGGTTATGGGCCGAAACATTAAGCACCATTTCCATTTTAGAACAAATACAAATTATGAAATTATAACAGCTCATTCTAACAATTTTTTTTTTTGTTGATTTCAATTATGCAGATGTTTTAGAAGAGTTATAACAATAAACTTAACTCAAATATTTGAATATTTTACAATACAATGGGTTGCCAGCCTTTCACCACCTTCATAGGATATAGTCTCCTTCATAAATACTATACTATATTTACTCTACTTAAATTTTTATAATTCATCATAAGAAGTAGAGTTATATATACAGTTGAAACATTCTAATAGACCGACATATACGAATGTTGTTTTTACACGATCTAATTATTTAATTAGACACTACGATTTATTATAATTAGTCAATTATTTGACAATATGAAAAAACTATTGTATACATTTAATCTAATTAATTTTTATTTTAATTAAGCTGATTCAATAATCTTTATACTTAATGGTACACAAACATTGATTTTAATTTCAATACATCAAAAATCATTTCCTTGTCATATATATATGACGTCATAATTTGCTCAAAACAGTTGAATCATGCATCTGCAGTATCTTCATATTATATATATATATATATTTTTTTTTTTTTTCACACTGCTACTATCCTCTCCGTGTGTAACCAGAGAACTCATTCTTCAACCCCCATTCATCTTCTTCATTTATTTTTCTCTTCTGCAACTAAAAATCTCCGTACTGACGTCAAGCTTCTGATTTACTTCTGATGGCTTTTGCTTCTGATTTCAACGCACGTCGGAACAAAATGTACCTGCGACCCGGAAGAGAACACTGAGGACAGAGATACAGCGTTGAAATACAAAATTGCAGCAAAATTCCCAATACTCATGGCGGATACAATCGATTGTGTCCCCTGATTATCGGCAAAACCATCCTGGTTTTGCATCCAGAGAAGAACATATTCTTCATCGTCAAGGCTTTCGCTGCCGGCGTCATGCTTTCAACTGTATTCATTCACATTCTTCCCTGACTTTTGAGAAA